TTGACCGCATCACTCCAATAAGTTTTGGGAACATTTTTGTGAAAAAGAAGAGTGCGCGAGACTTCCATCAAATGACGATTTTTGCGCTCGGCAACACCGTTTTGTTGAGGAGTGTTCGGACACGAACGTTGATGAATAATACCATGAGCCTGGAGATAGGTTCTAAAAGCATTGCTCGTATATTCACCACCATTATCGTATCGTAAACATTTAACCTTCAAGCCAAATTGGTTAGTAACAAACGCGTGAAAAAAATTTAAACACATCAAACACATCTTTCTTATGTTTCAACATATATAACCAAGTGTATTTTGTTTTCTCATCAATGAAAGTAACAAAATATTTAAAATGATCGCGAGAGAAACACGAAGTGGTCCATACGTCAGAATGAATCAAATCAAATGCATTATCATAAACTGTTTGTGAAATAGGAAAAACCGTGCGACAGTTTTTACCGAGTACACAAGCCTCACAATGTCCAGAGGAAACAATGGTTTTGGTCGTTGGTACAAGTAATTGAAGCACCTTATTATGCGGATGTCCTAGTCTATCATGCCATAACGGAGAAGAAACATGAAACGAAGATGCAGAAAGAGAGTGCAAGTCTTCTACAATGTAGAGGTTGCCTCTCTTTATTCCTTTTCCTAGAGAGCGATCCAACTTAGTATCCTGAAATAGCAGTTCGTTAGAACGGAAAATCACATTGCAAACTGTGTCATGAATTAATTTAGGAATAGGCAGTAAATTGGTACTAAAATCAGGTATATAGTATGCATAAAATTCCATGCCAAATAACCGAAACTTGCCATGACCACGAATCGGAACAAGTTTTCCTTCAGCCACAGTGACCATGCCATATGAAGTATCAAGACTATGAAACAAGTTTTTATCCTTGAACATATGCATCGTGGTTCAAGAATCGATCACAATATGAGGAGAGAAGATGTTAGAAAAGTTACCCGTATCCTTATCTTTTAAGGCAAGAACAAAATTTTTGAACTCTTCTTGGTGGTGAAAGAGATGGTATGGCCAGCAGTCATCGCTGCTCCTTTCGTCGGTATCGATTCCCGGAGACGAGCCGGTTTGAGATGAGGATTTAATATCCAACATCGATCCTTGCTGTGGCCCGACTTCCTGCAATGTTCACATACCAACGGCTTATTGTCGCGATGCGCAGAGAAATACGGCTGTGCTTTCTTGGTGTAATGAGCCGCCCCATGCGGCCCTGCAAACATATTACGACCGCCTTCCTCTCTCTTAATCAACATACATACCTCGGCAAAGGAAGGCAAAATCGATTGATGGAGAAGATGGTACACCAAGTCGTTGTAAGAAGAATCCAAGGTAAGAAGCAAACCAAACACTTTATCTTCTTCAGTCCTTGACAGTGCAACTTTTGGATCAATAGTAGGAGGACGTATCTCATCCAACTCAGTCCATAACGCCGTGTAATCACACTGAATTTTGTGGAAGGACTGTCCTTGCTGCTGCATGTGAGACAGTTTCTTTTTTATTTCATAAATTCGGCTAATATTAGACATATTACCGTAGATGTCCTTGAGCGCATCCCACAATGCTTTGGCGGAGTCTAAAGCAATGAAGGACTGCAACACATTCTGGTCGAGAGAGCCTTGCAGAAGAACCAAAGCCAGTTGGTCCTCTTGATGCCATTTGGCTTGTTTCGTGGCAATCAGTGTCGGATCCGGTGGAGCTACTGTTTGGGCTTCATTAGCAGATGTCTGAGAAGAAGTAGCTCTTTGTTCCACAGTGATATGGTTCCACAGCCCCTTGCTACTGAGAGTAGCCTTGGCTGCCTTGGACCAATAAAAATAATTCTCTCCATTCAAGGTAATGGGAATCGGTTTTTGGGTGTTGTCCATGGTGAAATTGAGAACGAGAAACTGAGAGAGAAGCGTAGATAGGAGAACGAGTGTAGAATGAGATGGAAAAATTGGTCCACACCTTAGAGCTCTGATACCATAAAGAAATCAAGGACCAAGACTGATTTGGAGACAAGGAATGAGAGTTGCAGAGATTGGGAGAAAGAACAGAGATGTAGAAGACAGAAGAGTGGAGAAGAAAATATTACTCTGTATATTGATGTTTATTTGTTTACAATATATAAACAGATTTTACAAAAGTAAAATGGAAACAAGTGATATAGAAATTATATATATGAAATGTGGAAGAGATATGTTCGTGATTTGTTCCAGATTTGTTGCCAATGACTAACATTCACTTTTAGCAGCAAACCTTCTGATTGATGCAGTGTCTTCCTCCTGAATGTTACAGCTTGTATCGATCTTCACTTGAATCTTGGTCTGATCGTGTCCTTGAACTAGAAACACCTCACTCTCTTCTTCGTTATCTTGTTCAACAACAGATACAGATCCCGAATCGATTGAAATAGACGTTCTAACGTTTCTACGATTCATACATGCATGGCTCTAGAGTTTATTAGAAATTTTTGTTTTACATCCGCTGCGCAAACTCTAGAATCGATCTATTAGGAATTAGATTCGCTGTAGAGATATCAGGAATTCCAACAGTTACAAGTAAGACCTTTCCAGAAACCCTAGAGTAATCGAGAGGAATGAAAATGACGATAATGGAAATTGCACAAAGACTTCCTCCTTTAAAGCTGAAGAAGAAGACAACCGAAAAACTAACTCTCCCATTTTCAATGATTGAATTGCCCTTTCTCCAAAAACTCGTCGTTTTGCCATTTAATGAACCGATCTGATTTTTCTCTGGTTAACATTGTTTTTCCTTAAACCGAATTAAATCTTAAATCTTTTTCTGCATCAGAGACTTCTTCTGATCTTTGCCGATTTCAACATTATTATTATTGTTATTATTATTTTGTAACATTTAAAAAATGGATATAGCAAATTTCGAAAAATATAGAAATTTATTGAAATCAAATATATAAAAAAAAAGGAATAAGAGAAAGAAGATGGCCCACCTGTTGATGTATGAATTGTCAAAGAAAAATATTCTCATTCCCTTTATCAACATTTTCTCATGACTTATTCTTCGGTCGGTCCACTTCTTTTTCACCCGACAGGATTTTATGATATGATCTTGGAATTGATCTGTGAAAGATGTTTGCTTAAAACTTAGTTTATGGCAAATTTCATATAAAATATAAATATTAAATAATAAAAAATTCTCAATTTTGGAAAGTAGATTTCTAACGTTTCAAGCCGGATATTGATTTGAAGGAGAAAGAATCAGTACGCTAAAATTGTCAAGAAAATAAGAAACTATTTCGAATTGTCTACATAATAAGAAAATATTTCAAATTTAACAAAATAGTATATTTATGGTCTATTTGGAATTTTTATTATAATAAATAAATTTTTTATAATAGTTAGACCAAACTTTTCTGAAACTTTAGAATCACTTTATTCGTTTTCTATGGATTTGAATTCTAATTCTTGCAATTTGAGTGGATTATAATTTACCAAAATATTAAGATGAAAAAATAATTAGGACAAGATTTTTTTTTTTTGTCTACATTGGATCGAACTTGTAAGATGTAAACAAAAAAAAAAAGAGTAAAATCCCAAAAAATCATAAACTTGTAAAATGGTAAAAAATAAATTTCTAAACTTTTCGTCTAACAAATTTATTCTCAAACTTTCAAAATAAGTCATTATAATTTCTAAACTTATAACATATGTCATTATAATTCTCAAACTAATTATTGAATCAATATCCACTACAAAAACAAATCACCAATTTCTAATGGATTTTCAACGGTTTTCAACAGCATTTTAACTACGATTTCCGTTCAAATTTCCAGCGTATATCCGTTGGAAACGCTAATTGGAAATTTTTAACAGAATTTTCAACGTATTCAATTGAAAAATTGGGTTGAAAATTTCCAACGGATTTCCGTTATTGAAAATTTTCAACAGATCTCGGTTAAAAAAATTGGTTGGAAATTTCTGGATTTCGGTTGGAATTTTTTTTTAAAAAAATTCAAACGGAATTCCAATGGATATCGGTTGGAATTTTTTAGAAAAAATTTCCAACGGAATTCCAATGGATATCGGTTAGAAAAAATATGTATACTAATACATATATATATTTTAGTTTTAAAAATATATATACTAATACATATATATATTTATATATATATATTAATATATATATATATATTTAAATACATATATTTTATATATTTATACGTATACATATATATGTATAAATATATGTATATTTTGTGTATATATATTTTTATATGTAAAAATATAATGTATATATACATACACATATATATGAATAAGTATATATATATCGATATGTGTATATATATTATGTATTTGTATTACAAGTGTATATTATGCACATATACATATGAATTCGAATGTGTATATATGTAAATATATATACATATATACGTATAAATATTCATATATATATACATGTATATATATATGTGTGTATGTATATATATAAATATTATATGTATAAATATTTATATATGTATATAAATTAATATTGTATGATATCATAAATTTAACTTGGAGCAGTTGGATGATTGGGTTTAGGGTTTAGGGTTTAGAGTTTAGGGTTTAGGGTTTAGGGTTAAGAAGGATTGAGTTGGGGCAGTGGAAAGATGGGTGACCTATTAAAAAGTGAGTTCGAGTATTAAATTTTAGAGCTTCGGATTCAAAATAACCATTATTTTTGTAGTGATCGTTAATATTTTTTCTGATACCAGTTAACAAGTTCGGGGATAATAATGATATATTTTACAAATTTAATAATTAAGTACTACATTTTTCAAGTTTGGGAATAAATTTATCTAACAAAAATTCACGAATTTGTTTTCTCCATTTTATAAGTTTAGAAAATTTTTATTAGTTTTATTAAAAAAATTAATATAGCAGCCTTGTGGGCCGTTCGGTTAAGCCTTTGGGTTTCCTCACACCGCCGGAAAATAAAACTATACAGAAATATCATTGAACTTGTGAATTATATTCCTTCGCTTATTTCATCGATTTTTCTTATGATACAAACATATATAGTTGCCATAAACCTACAACTTGCAACAAGATCACGCGATACAAGGGAGAAGGGCACATACACACACATATATATATATATGTATGGGCATTATATGTATGTATATATGTGTGTGTATATATATATATTGTACGAGATAACCATGACTTGCTGGGTGACAAGAAAACTGTGTGACGAAAGGAGCCGGTAGTTTTCACCTCATGAACCTGCACCGTTGACGTAAGCGTTAACGTATTACCGATTATGCATATTTCTTCTTATGCCTTTCTTTAGACACGAAATCATTTTTCTTTTGGTAATGGTTAACCCAAGATAGGGTTCGAACTCGGATGGGATAACATTTTATGTTTTCGCCTTACTGTTTTGTCACCCACACTTGGACAGACATAAAAGCGGAACTTTCAACCTAATAATTCTCGTGTTATTGTTAATTTGTTCATTCATTCAATCAAAAGAATGTGAACAAAAATTTGCACAAGACACACAACACTTTGGTTTTAGATATCGAAATTATCTTTCTAATAGTATATAGAACGTATGATTTGGTTGTAGATTTTGAAAATTATTGAGGTCGAAAGTTTCGGTTAAAAAATTGGAAAATCGTAAGCGAAATATAAGATACATAAAATAACATGACCAACAACTACAAGAGAATTATACCAAAAAAAATACAGCTATAAGAGAAAATCACATGTTTTCCATGTTTTCCACTAGATGAATATCGAATCCTAGACCTAATGTTTATAATGTTGGGATTTGTATATACCTTTTATGATAACATGGCTTGTAATCGGGTAAGGGGATTTTGCCCGACTCGATGTGAATGATGTCCCGCACGAGGATATCATAGTGTGCCTTCACTTCTTCGGTGGTTTTTCCACCGACAGCTCTCGCCACCTTTTGCCACCGGTCAGGTGTCTCGTCTTCGAACACTGCGAGCGCTTTCTCGAACATCTTGTTCTGCTTTGCTGTCCAGACCGAGCTCGAGCCACGGGAAGAAGTTAGGGAGGTTGAGGCCATCGAACTCGAGAATAAATGACGAGTTGTTTTGTCTTGATGGTAGTTGAAGAGAGTGCAAAGACTTCATTCCTTTTATAACCCAAATGGAAAAAGACATTTGAAGATTCCAAATGTTGACATTATTCTATTGGGATAAAGCTTCTTTGCCCAAAAATAAAGGGTCGTTTTCTTCTACTTTATAATATCTTCGTACAGTTTGTGTTGGTTGGAGTATTTGGCCATGGAATTTTTTAACAACTTTTGAAATTAAGATTCGCCATGACATATCCTGTCTGCTCTTAGTTAGCCAAACAGAACTTCGTAGTTTCTAGATATAGCAAGTTGACGATACATGCCAGTATTACATGAAATACGAGTATGAAGATCTAAGATGATCTTTGTGAATTTGGACGGTCTAGTCATATGAGATCATATAAAATATACTCTTATCTTAGGTTTGAATCCAAACATGGAGAGGAGACTCGTAATTTAATTACGGTGTACATGCCAATTTCAGATCTTGGAAGATATAGTTGGGTCGAAGGTCCAATGAATTTATAAGAACAGATAGAAAAGGTGAACAGTGCTTGGACGTTAGCTCCTAGACATTAAGTTTTGAAGAAAACATGCATACGCTTTATAGTTAAATTCGGGATTTTCCATGCAGGAGGTTTCATAATGCCATAATGAGATTTTGAGGGCAAAAAAAGATGACAAAAGGAAAGAACCAAAACTATGCTTATTAAGTATTTGGGGGAAAACTCATATAAATTTACTCAACTTTATAAAACATGTCAAATAAATATTTAAACTTTTAATTTGATCTAATTAATATCTCAAATGTTAAAATGTTCTAAATTAGTATCTTAAATATTGAAATATTCCAAATTAATATCTCAACATACAACTCGTGAAATCAAGAACAATTTACAATCTCAATCGATTCGTTTTTGTATTAGAAATTAACATCTAATTTATACATAGAATTAAAATTGAGAATCGCCATCGATTTCGTGAATTTATATATACATTTAAAACATTTTAGCATTTGAAGTATCAATTTAAAATATTTTAACATTTGAGGTATCAAGTAGATAAAATTAAAAGTTTAGATATTTATTTTATATATTTTATAAAATTGAGGTGCTTATATGAGATTTTCCATTAATTATTATATAACCATTTGTTATTTATCATATGGAAACGTTTTCATCCGGATTTAGATAGTGACCACAAACACACACTCTCTTGCCAGTTGGGTAGAATCTATCTTATTGTCTTTTCGAATTTTATGATGTCATTGAACTGTCGAACGAAAAATACACTTAGATTTATGTTTTGTTTCATAATAATCGAAATATTTATTAACCATTATATCAATTTTATTCGCATATATGGTTGAAATAGATGCCGTTTTTAGTGATTGAAACCATATATACATTTCAATATCATATTCTGATTTTGGTGATAACACGAATATTTCTTTCTTTTATCCGATGAATATACTCTATAAAGAGAATAACAAAGCAATCCAGTCGGGTAGGTCGAGTGATGTAGTTGGTTGAAAAATGATAGGTGTTCCAGGTTCCATGTTCGACTGGTCATTGGAGAGGTATGATGCAATGTAATTGCAATAAAGTTGTCTTTCGATTCATGATGGATGTAGTTGGGTCGAAAGTTTAGTGAACCAATCTGATTTAAAAAAAAAAAATCGAAGTCTCAGTTTTTGAAATTCTTTGTGAAAAATTAGGGTTTTCTTGCTGATGAAATATTCCCATATTAAGTTAAGAAGAGAGTTGGTGGTAATTGGAAACAGGCATCTTATACCTTATCAAGTCTCTCTATTCTGGCATTTTTGTAGTGATAAAATCTTGAAAACCCTATTGGCTTCGCTTTCCTATCTCGTTAACTTTGGTGGGATCCACCTTTACATGACGTGGAATTCGAACAAACATGTATTAATCGAATAGATCAGTGAAATAATTGGTGGAATATATATATAGTTGGAGTATGAGTGGATTGGATTTTGCCGAATCGGACTAAATCAATCATAAAATACGACTTTCGATTAATCATCATTTGATCGTGTCTGCATAACAAGTTTGATTGGAAATGGACGTATAAATCATATGGTTGATCCATGATATTCAATTAAAAAAAACATGTTTGATTGTCTCCACCTGAAGTGCTTCCATTTGGTATTGCTCAAGGAATGCCACAAGTTCTAGCAATTGATCATATTTATTGGGAAGATTAGCATGCTAAATACTGAATTTTATCCCAACTTCCAAATTAAATATTAAATACTGGGGGAAACCTGTAGGTGAGTTGGCAAAGAGCATGGTCAACATACCGAGAGGTTGGGGGTTCGACTCCTTGTCCGCTCACCTATCGCCTGTCAGTTACGACTGATTTACCTCCCACGCGTGTGTTGCAGACTCGTGCGTGTGGATTTGGGTTTACTCGGTCAGCGCGTTCGAAGGGTAGCAGTCAGGGTTCCCAATGTATAAAAAAAAATATTAATCTTTCTTATTTCCAAAAGATAATATAAATTATTATGAAAATGGCATAAAAATCAAAGTATTCTCGGCGGTAACAACATCCGGTACTGTTAAGCTTATCTGGTGATGACGTGTTGCAGGTCATATTAAAATAAATAAAAATATAAAAATATAAAAAATTTACGTAGATATGTGGAGATAATGTGGATTCATAACTACACTAAAATGTAGGATTCTACGGATATAGATCGAATGAATATCTAATTCAATCTAGAGAACTCAATCTCTTATGTAGAAGTTACTATCTCGATGTCTAATCTCACTATCAAGAGAATTAGTGTGACATCTCGATCTAGGATGAGGGTGGAGAACGATCGTCGGTGCAAGTGGTACAGACAAAGAGCGACTCTCGAAATACTACTAAGCCAAAGGGGTATATAAATGAGTCAAACGGAGCGGAATGAGAGAGATTTGAGTATTGTGTAGGTATAAGACTGTATAGTCAAAGATAACTTAAAAGAATTGATTGACAATACTCATACCAACAAGATTCATCTATCTTTTTGGTTGTCTATTCCGAAATAATTTCAAAGTTAAGCGTATAGGTTCTAGAGTAATCTAAATATGAGTGACCTAATGAGAAGTTTTTTTCAGTATCCGTGCGAGTGAGATGTTGATGAGTGAGGACACTTTCAACGTTCGTTAGCGGTCTCGGAACGTTACAATTAGCCTACCAACCTCTCAATACTAAAATTTAATATTGAGGGTATTTTTTTTTGGTTATGTTAAAAATGATTATGTTGGGCCTTAAGGCCCGTTGGCGGAAGAAAGTGAACCTTCCCTTTGGGAAGGAGGTTTCGGGTTTTAACCCGAAACGCAGCGTTTCTCGATAAGGGTTAATGAAACCCTAAATGAGTTCGTAACTTCGACGCTGAGAACGGCGCGGTGCTCGAGGTGGAGAGAAGAAAGGCGATCGCAGAGGCGATCGTGAGGAAGAGAGGAAGGTCGCGACGGAGGAAGAGTTTCCCAGCGATGGAGAAGCTTGGACCGGTGGCAGTCACCAAAGGTGAGTTGCGGAGTAGGTCGGTAAGTGTCTCATAACCTGTCTCTTGGTGTTTCTCGGTGAGCCTCTGACCTTGTGTGGAGAGCCACTACGTGTTTTCCCTTCTCCGTTGTTTCGGCTCTGTTCTAATGGATTCGCTGGCACCGTCCGGCCGAGATGTAGGCCCGAGCTCCGCTCGGTAACCGAACCCGTTAAAACTCCGACTGTCTTCTTCTTCCTCACACGTACGAGCGTCAGAGAGAACCGTGAGGGTCGATACACACTTCACAAAGTGGTATCAGCTCCGGTTACTCGATCCAGGGAGATTCGCCGGCAAAGGCGAGGTAAGTTAGGGTTCTTGGTCCGAATCTTGTCTGCGTGAGCGATTTGATGCTCTGTTTAGTGTTTCAGTCAAAGACGGAGGCGGATAGGCGACGGTGGGAGGTAGATCTGAAGCCTCAGAGTCACCGGTGGCAAGATCCGTCGGGGTGGAGCGTCTGAGATTGAAACTCGGTGAAGACAGGTTCTCGACCAGGCGACTCAGGTATGTTTCTCGACTCGGTTCTTTATTTCCGCGGTTTTCCTCCGGTTTTTTTTTTTGAGACCGAGTTTCTTTGAAACTCGGTGAACTCGGCGGAGGAAGACTCGATTCCGGCGAAACTCGGTCCCGACTCGTCCGAGTTAGGGTTTTGAGTGGAGGAATCGGGTGAGTCAACGTCCGAGTCAACTCGGCAGACTCGGCGGCTAGGGTTTCCGAAATTAGGGTTTCGGATTAAACCGGTTCAGACCGGTTTAATCGAACTAATTCTCGGTTTAACCCGGTTTTGGTCAATCGAACCTGGTTCGATTCTATCCAAGTCCGGTTATCGGCGGGCAGATTGGGGTGAA